TGAAGATAAATGCATGAACAAACTTTATGAAATAAGTATAACATATTGGTTAGATCAATCATGCTAAGTTGCATTGCAAATCATCCTCACTCTTCATAAAATGAAAGTATAAATTAGAATAAATAAAATAATAGTATATTGTAGAATAAATGAAATAACTTGCCTCCTCAAGTGAAGCATTTCCAGCTCTCTCACCAATTCCATTAATTGTGACCTCAACTTGCCTTGCACCTGCACATGCCCCCTGCAAAGAGATGAGAAGAATCATACATAATTTACTTAAGGTTCGAGATGAGGTCAAATCAGCATTTAGATAATTCACACAGAAATCCATTTTGTCTTGCAATTTGCTAATTCATGGAGAGGCTGAAGAAGTTCGTAATCCATAATTTGTTTGCTTTCGGTAATGATTACAGAAAGGCTTCAACAATTTAGACTAAGATCAAGCCAAAAAAAAAAAACGTATATCTTATCCCTTCTTCATAATTTACAATGCAAACTATCACTATCAAGCATATCTATCCATGAAATATGATATTAGTATACATTCATCATCACGTTTACACCTTGTTTCCTTTTTTACCCTATATTTTTTAAGTGGTGTGTCACTATGTCCATGTCCTATATAGCATGTCTCGTAGTGTTAGAAGTATGTTATTCATTCCTTGTTACCATCTTATTATCTTCAGATGCTTCCCAAATTAAAGGACCAGATAAATACATAGGATCAACAAGGAAGAAAAAGTCATTACTTACTGCTACTGTGTTGGCAGTTGCAAGTCCAAGATCATTCTGGCAGTGTGTTGAAATGATAACATTTTCAATGCCAGGAGTATTAGATTTTATATCAGCAATCAACTTGCCAAATTCAAATGGCATTGTATAACCCACAGTATCTGGTATGTTGAGAGTAGTTGCCCCAGCCTTTATCACTTCCCCCAGAATTTGATAAAGGAACTCTCTGTCAGATCTGATAAACCACAACATAAAAAAGAAAAATGTTTTATCAACTAAAAAGACCAGCAATTGATGTTAAACAATGATTGATGGCCAAAGATATCGAAAACCTCCATAGTGAAGGTGCCCTATGAAGGATCTGCTCCAAACAAGACAAGGATGGGGATAGACATTGGTCAGAGACTGTACAATAAACAATATGTCCGATCCACACAAATAATAATAAAATTTCCCTCACTAAACAATTCTAAATATCGGTGGAAAGGGAAACCATACAAATGCATTTCAAATTGATGTTATGATAGAGCGAACAGGATGCTATACTCTAATTCTCAAGAAGCACTTTAGACATTGGGATCACTGGTTAAGTTTGTGTAACGGGAGGTAAATAAGTCAAACCTATAGAGTATATGAGTTTGCTAATCAAAACTAAAGATTTTCTAATTATTAGCTATGTAGATAAAATTACATAAGTTAAGCATGGGAAACTGCTACCAACTTTTGTATACACAATTTAAAATTTTATACTCATACACAAGGCGGAAACAAGTTGCACAAATTCACACTTCACAACTTCCAAGATAAATCTAAGCTTATTAACTATTTAATCCAAATATCCATTATGATGGAGAGTTTTTTAATCCAAGGAGCATGCAGAGTCGACTTACTCTCTGGATCAATTCGATGAAACAAAAAATTTAAGAATGCATGCAACTTGAGATCAAGATCAAACCTCCCAGCATCCTCAGGGCTGAACTCAACATCATCACAACCCAAACTTCGTGCAAACTGCACCATATTTCGAGCAATTTCAATCACTTGCTCCCTCGTCTTTCTCAGCTTATGTTCCATATGAATTTCGCTCGTTGCAATAAAGGTATGTATCCGCGGTCTCTTGGAGTACTTCACAGCCTCCCATGCAGTTCGAATATCCTTCTCATTACACCTCGAGAGACCACAAATAACAGGCACGTACCCGTCCGCATCGACAGCATTTCCGACCTCTTTGGCAATCATCTTGACTGCCTCAAAGTCTTCCTTCGAGGCAGCAGGGAATCCAGCCTCAATTATGTCGACGCCAAGCTTGGCGAGCTGACGAGCAATATCAAGCTTCTCTTTAGCAGTGAGAGAGGCACCCGGAGACTGCTCGCCATCCCGGAGAGTAGTATCAAATATGCGAACATATGAAGAGTCAGGAATACGATTAGGAATGTACGACGGACGTCTAATTGATGATTTCGATTCAGAATTCAAAACTACGCGTTCTGTCTGACAGCAGTAAACGCGAGATACATGGTCCGTCGCCGTCCTAAAGGACAGTGAACGTGAAGGATTCTTAAGAGCCTGCAAATTCCGACTATAAATCCGATGACGGGCAGAAAACTGAGAGTTCGGTTGCCGAACAAGAAACTGATTCGGTCTCGACAATGCTGCCGGCATGGCCATCGTAAAAACAAAAACCGCAAATCAAATAAAACAGAAACACACTACCAGAACAAACTAGCTTCACCTCCTCTTTATTGCACAATCTCGCAACCGTCTGAGAAAATTTGACAAAGCAATTAATCCGCAATGATGGACGAACGTAGAATACTTACAGGCGAACTCCAGCGGGCATTTCTGGGAACTTTTCAAGAGGGAAATGTGGACAGAATGAAAGTCCGTTTAGATTGTCAGAATGACGAGCATGGAGGAGCAAGTACAGAGGGAATCGATGGCCGATTGATGAACCCTGGAAGGCTGAAGGAGAAGGCGGCAGGCATGCATCACACAGTTTTCTAAAGCTCGACGTTTAGGGTATTATATAAATGCTGGCTTACTTCAATTTGTCATAGAAGGACTGACTGATCTCTCTTTGACCCTTTTTTATATTTTTATATATTTCTTATTTTATTTTTATTCCTTTTTTATTTTTTTTATTTTTTTATTTTGTCCAACTGCCTTCCAACTTGCAAAGACTAAATTATTTAACAATTAACATGAAAATGATTTTTGAAATTGTAATATTTTTTTTAAGACCATGATTTGACCGTTTTTGAATAAATTTACAGTAATTATAATAAAATAATAAAATTTGTAGTTTTTTAATAATTCATATTACTACATGTGCAAATTCAACAAATTAAATTAAAAAACGCAATCAGTAATTCGAATATTTAGTATATAACATGTGAAAATAAAATATAAAGTATAATATTATAGTGTTGATAAAGGGGATTTAAGAGTTCATAGTTAGCTTTTGGAAGATACTGGAAAAAGGAAATAATAAATGTTTTTTTCTTTTTTAATAATTAGCAAATAGAAGGATTTTAGTTTAAGACATGGAAAGTTAGTTATTTTTTTAATTTATTTTCTTTTATTTTCCATATATATTAGCGATATAAAAGCACCGTAATTTATTAAAACATTCAAAATATTAAAAAAAAATATTTTAAAAAAAACTTCCATTGATAATTAATTTATAAATTTAAAAGAAATAACAAAAAAAAATTATTTCTTTACTTTATGTGCCACCTTTACCTTCTTTTTTTTTAAAAAAAAAAATTATTCCAGCTTTATGCTCTAGTGAACATAAAAATAAATAATAAATAATAAAATTGGTAGAGTATTTGTGAAAATCTGAAAAAGACAATGGAGGATATATTATATTCTATGTTCATTCTTATTTTTATTTTTTTTTAAATCAGAAAATAGAAAGAAAAGTAATGTATAGAACAAATGCCTAAAAATCCCATAAGAAATGCATTCAACACCTAAGATTTTTTCTTAAAAAAAAAAGAGGAAAATAGTATAATTTATTCAATAAATGCCTGAGAAGCTTATTTTATTTATTCCATTTTCATGGCCATAAAAGAAAAAAAAACTACCCTAACATAAGCATCCATGGTCGAGAAATCAAGCCTCTCTCTCGTAATTACCCGACCACGAGTAGCTAAAAAAATGAGGAGAAGGTGGTGGGGGAGTGTCTTTCTTTCATTTTTAGTTTTGTTTGGATGATGAAAATCTCATATTTGCTAGTTTAAAGAATGATCATGAGTTTATAATAAAATAATATTATCTCCATTGGTGCGAGACCTTTTGGAGAAACCCAAAGCAAAGCCATGAAAGTTTATGCTCGAAGTGGACAATATCATACTATTGTGGAGAGTCGTGTTCGTCTAACAAGTTTTACGTTTTTTCAAAGCAATTAGAGTAGAAAATAGAGATTCGACTCCAAAATTGACCACCATAAAGATATTTATTGTTGATTCATTCATGATGTCCCTCTAAATATAAACACAACACCTTAGGCTAACGAAGTTGAAAATAGGGCTTTGACTTGTGAATTGAATTCCATCGACGAATTTACTGGCTTCAATTCAAAAATAGGTCCTTGAATCTTAAATTGATCCAATTAAAGAATTACCATTTGTTCATCTATGGTGCGGCCAAATCTTACGTAAAAGGAGTGAATATTTTCAATGTTGTGTGATTTTCATGAACATACATATGCACGAGACCTCGGTACAAAACACTAGTTTAATATATAACATTTTACCATACATAATCCATGTACTTTGATTCTCACCACTTAACATACACTTAAAAAAAAAACATGATTTAATTAATTTAAATACAAAATCATTGCAATTAATATAATCTTAAACAAATAATTTTGGGATTGAGAAGTTGATTTGGGTGTTTATAAATTATAAGGCTTAGTTAAAAAAATTAAGCTTGATTTTGATGAGATTTTTTTTTATTATAAATATCAATTTGTCGGAAAATTAAAATATTTCCTCAAGATTATTAAAAAAAAAAAGATTTTTCTTAAAATTTAAATACATACATTATATATATTTTTATTAAGACAATTTACTTTCCTGTAAAAAAAAAAAAAAAGAATTTTTAATTAAAAAAACCAACTTAAAAAAAGACCGTTGCTAAATAAATATTGCCAGAAGAAAAGAAAAGAAAACAAAAAAAAAAAGAAGAAGAAGAAGAGGAAAGAAAAGCGACCGTTAGCAAATGTTTTTATATTTTATTTATTTATTTGTCAAATGAGAGATTATAAATAGTTTCGAGAGTTCTCGACTTCAAAATAAGAACCCTGAATGTCTTCTATTCCTCCTCCAGGAGAGAGCGTTTAAGCGAAGAAATCAGTGTTCCGCGATAAATTTCAGTAGAAACTAGAGGAATTTGAACTTCAATTTTCGTTTCTGCTGTGTTTTTTGAAGCTGAGATGGATCCTGAAACTGCCCTACAGCTTGTAAAGCACGGTGCGACGATTCTCCTCCTCGACGTTCCTCAGTACACGCTTATTGGAATTGATACTCAGGTCAGTCAGATAAAGGCATCTTCTGTTTTTTTGTTTGTTTTTCTTTCTCTGAAGAAGTTTCGAGGTACTGTTGGGAAGGAATAGGTGTTTAATCATACTAGCTAAGTACTAACTGCTATTGCTGCTACTGGCTGAAATTTGTGACTGCAATGTTAAGTTCTGTGGAATTTGAACGAAAAATTGATTCTCTGTTACATGTTACTCCTCTATTTCCAGTAATTTATGTTAGGTTCTGTGGAATTTGAACGAAAAATTGATTCTCTGTTACATGTTACTTCTCTATTTCCAGTAATTTTTATCTGAAATTGGTCAAAATCTGTACGCGCTTCTTGTTCGGTTGGCTGAAGAGCTACCTTATTTCGTAGTTTTAGACGCTAATACGTCAAGATTTTTTGGCGCGTATTGTTTTCAGTGTTTTATTTTTGTCGTGGATAGTAGTCCTCCATACACGTTTTGCTGGCTGAAAAGTCATGTTATGGCCTGATTTCATCGTTTTAACTGTAATACTCAGAATTTTCGATTAAATATTGTTTCACGTTACTCTTACTCCTCCCCTTCCAATTAATGCGAGAAGAAAATGGCCAAAACCACCAAAAGCGTTTTGTTGGGCTAGTAGAAAAGCCAAATCATGAGTCGATTTCATAGCTATAGCAGCTAATTCTTGGAATTTTCGATTAAATCTTGTATTCAACGTTTCTCTTTGTTATGGCCAATCTTTCTTCTCACCGTTTATGTTACTCCAGTATTCCTATCATTTTTAGTTGAAAACTTGCAAAAACCACCATACACTTTTTGACTTCTTTGCAAGAGCTCAATTCATGGTTTTTTTAGCGTCTGATAATTATTATATTACTTATTAATATTGTTTTCAATGTTTATTTTTGTTATGGGCGTGGTTCTCACGGCATATCATACTGCATTTCCTAGCATTGTTAGAATAAATTGGCTGAAACCACTGCATATGTTATTTGGCTGGCAGGAAAGCCACATTAGGAGCTGGTTTCATAGTTCTAGCCACCAATATTTATATTCTGACTAAAATTTGTTTCCATGTTTATGTTGGCTGCTTTATTCTCACCATGAGTGAAGTTTTTAGTCATTGCTTTTGAGCATTCAGTGGTAGGCTAAATTCTATTATAAAATGAATCTCAATGAGATTTGAATAGCTTCACACTTAGTTTGAGTAATTTGCAGTAATTATTGCACTAAAGTAGCTTAATTTAATTTATTTAGAGTGACTAATAGTTGTTTGCCTTCTTAAGATGTTCTCTGTAGGGCCTTCTTTCAAAGGTATAAAGATGATTCCTCCAGGATCACATTTTCTTTATTACAGCTCATCGAGCAGGTGTGATATCATTAATCAGGTTATGTAGATATATCTATTTTATTGTTGCAGACTATGACTTACATGATGTGACGCATTTGATCAGTTCTTATAAAGATGTCATACCATGCATCATAGATTTTATTCTTACTGCTCATGTCCTCCATGACCTGTGTAGCCTTGCCTTACATTCTGCATCACTTCGATAATTGTTTGTCTAATTCTAACTTTATATGACAACATCTTAGCAACCTAATGCTTTATACGTTGTTGTATCATTAATCAGTTCATAGATACTATATCTTTTCAACAGTACAAACTATCAGATGCTATATTTCTCCTTCTTCTTCTTCTTTTATTCATTCATTTTTATCAAGAAAACCTACGTGCGTGCGATATTTCCTTCAACTGCCTATGTAAAGATGATGCATCACATTGATAATTGCTTGTCTAAGTCCATCTTTACCTTATGTTTAATTTGCAACATCATATGGTATGATGTTAATCGAACTGTATAGATACTTATATGTAGTTAATTGTGACAGGCCTATAACTAGATACTGTTTAAGGGACACTAGTAGATACATTTCTAAAGATAGAAAAAGTAGTAATTTGTTTAACAAATTTAGTTACTATGGAGAAGGAGGAGGTGAAAGCAATTTCATCCATAAAAGTCCCAACCAACTCCGGGAAGCAATGAAATCCCGTCCTATAAAATGACCTCCCTTTCCAATCATTCAAATCACTCCTCCTCTCAATCTCACTTCAATTTTTGTTGTCACCAACAACTAGTATCAATCTCACTTCAATTTTCATACTACGGTTTCTCTTGGCAACAATTCAATTATCCAAGTGATAGGGAAAGGAACTATAGATATCAAGACTAGAAATGGCTTTGTAGAGTCTATTTCTAATGTTATTCTACATTCCTGATCTGAAGACCAACTTACTTAGTAACGGTCAGTTACAAGAAAAAGGGCATAAATCTCACATTCATCATTTTGGAATGTGATCACATACCCTTTTTATTGTAACTGACCGATACTAAGTAAGTTGGCCTTCAGATCAGGAATGTAGAATACATTAGAAATAGACTCTACAAAGCTATTTCTAGTCTTGATATCTATGGTTCCTTTCCCCATCACTTGGATAGTTGAATTGTTGCCAAGAGAAACCGTAGTATAAAAATTTTCATCCAAAGTTGAGAGGAATTCCTTGATCTGCAACCTTCATAGCATGGAATGACATTAACAATGTTTCTTCTTCTCTTCTCTCCAAAAAATTGTATTGATCCCTTTTCTCTTTTTGTAGCCTGGTATAACATTCATTTTTGTAATGTCCAAGGCTTCCACATCTGTAGCATTCCACCTTAGACTTGTCAAAGTGTCTCTTGCCTTTGTTGTCATAATCGTTTCTGACTAGATCTGTTGACCTGCCAACATCTCCACTTCTTTCTCGACTGCCTCTCCCATGACCTTTACCTCTTCTTTGCCCTTTACCTCTAGGGCTTGAAGTTTCACCTGGTGTGGATATCTTTAAGGCTGTCATCTCCTCTATTGCACTTGTACAATTGAGTCTCTGTTCATGTACTAACAGGCTGTCATCTCCTCTATTGCACTTGTACAATTGAGTCTCTGTTCATGTACTAACAGGGAGCTTGTTCATCTATTTGCATCTCTTCGACATTGTTTGCTTCTTCGATAGAACATACAATGTAATCGAACTTTGGAGTTAGTGATCGCAGAATCTTTTCTACGACCGCAACATCTGTGATTGAATCACCATGCATCTTCATTTTACTTGCAAGACTCATAACCTTGCCAATATAATCATTCACCGTTTCTCCCTTTTGCATTTTGGAGAATTTCAAAGTCTCTTCTAACTGCTTGAAGTTGAGCACACTTTACTCTCGTTGAGCCTTTATACTTCCTCCTCATAGAATCCCAAATTTCCTTGGATGTCTTCTTCTGAAGCATTGTTTCCAACATAGTCCTATTAATGGACTGAAATAAATAGTTCTTGACCTTCACGTCCTTCAACTTCGATGCTGCCAATAGTTGCTGTTGACCAGCTGAGAGTACCTCGCCTTCATTTGGCTCTTCATAACTCGTCTCCACCATATCAAAAAACTCATTTGATCTGAGAAAATTTTCCATCAACATCGCCCAATGATCATAGTGACCATCGAACCTCGGGATGGCGGGCTGAACGTAGCTCTCAACTTGTTTTTTTGCTGCCATTCTTGCTGTTGCAAGATCGCTCTGATACCAGTTGTTGGTGACAACAAAAATTGAAGTGAGATTGAGAGGAGGAGTGATTTGAATGATTGGAAAGGGAGGTCATTTTATAGGGCGGGATTTCATTGCTTCCCGGAGTTGGTTGGGATTTCTGTGGATGAAATTGCTTTCACCTCCTCCTTCTCCGTAGTAACTAAATTTGTTAAACAAATTACTACTTTTTCTATCTTTAGAAATTTATCTACTAGTGTCCCTTCAACAAATATATCTAGTTAATTGGTTCATAATAACTTTACACGACTCATCTATTTAATTGTAAAAAGGAGATGACATATGACATCAATTATTGACCCTTGTGTTTATGTATTGTAGTTAACTCTTCATTTATTAATCCATTATGTTTAATGAAAAGGAAAGGACTAAAAGCATGTGAGAGATCAAAAAATTTATAGAAAGGCCATCCAATTTGGTCCAACATGAAAGAAACAATCCTAGTTTGCTCCGATGAAAGATTTTTGGAAAAAGAAATACTCTTCTAGTCCCTTTGAATTTTAAAATATTACACTTTACTCCTGAGATTTGAGTTTATTTTCCATTTGGGTGATAGGCTTCAAAGTGTTGCATTTTACCCTTTTATTTTGAGTTTAGTTTCTGTTTGGTTCCTACATTTCAAATTGTTGCAGCACCATCCCATTTCTTTACATTTTAAAAAATCCATTGATTGAAATTATCAGAATAAGGGAGTTCAAATTCAAAAAATTCATAACAATTCTAATTGAAAAAAGAAAAGAAAAGAAAGAATGCCATTTCCAAGCTCATATTTTCACATACAGTCAAAGGATGGTTAAGGGAAAAAAAGAAAACTAATTGGGTGGGTTCCAATTATTTCTTGGCCCTTTTCAAGATCCTGGTGAACTGGAAGTTCTTCTCGGAAGGCAGTAGACTTACCCTTATCCAGTCTGTCTTGAGTTGGATTCCAACCTATTTCTTAGCCCTTTTTAGGATCCTATGTCGGTGAGTAAAACTTTCAAGTAGGGTAGGAGGTATTTCCTCTGGAAAGAGGGTTGAAGACGGGAAAAGATGCACACTTAATAAAGAGGGGGATGGTTGCAAAGCATATGGACTTTGGGGTTCTAGGGATTGGAAATGTGAGAGCCCGCAACAAGGCTCTTTTCACTCGGTTGTGGCAGTTTCATCAGAAGTCCAATTCCTTTTGGCATAAGGTTAAACTGAGCAAATTCGGCACGGCCCTTTCTGAGTGGACCTTGAATGAAGTCAGAGTACAGTTATTCTATTAAAAAAAGAAAAGAAAAAAAGAAGGCATAAGAAAAAGTGACAATACCTATAATTGAATACAGGATCAAATTGTATTACAAAGAGTCAAATGCCCCTTGCTATGCTGAAGCACCTCCAACAGTCTGAATTTCTTAGGAATCTTGTCAATCACAAACTACCAAAAAGAATTTTGTTTTGGTTACCAAGTGGACACTGGTAAAGGAATGGCGAAGATTCAACTTTGCTAGTCAAGGAGGTATGTTTTGGAAGAATCTTAGAGGGAGGAGATCTTCCTTATTACGTGATTTCATCTAGCCCAAGTAACAAATTTTGTTTAGTAAATTTAGAGACATACAAGTACCCTGAGAGATTTGACATAACCAAAAATAGATGGTGGCACATATATTCAAAGATTAGACAAAAATAGGAGCTCAGATTGATTTGAATGCATTGGTGAAGAGAAGTTAGGATTGTCCACAATCAACTAATAGAAGGAACAATTATTAATTTCAAATGTGTGATAGATAGACTATTATGAAGAGTTTGGAGAAACAATTGCCTTCAATTATACATGAATTTTGGAAGAGAAGGAAGGGGAGAACTTAATTTGAAATGCAAGAAAGCTAGGAATAAGATTTATGAGAATATATAACAACTAGGATCCATGTATCAAAATCTTCCATCATTTGAGAAAGGCTTAATTTGAAATGCACGAAAGAACGAAACAAGGTTTGTGAGAATAGGTTGATTTAAGGTCCATGCATTAAATCCTCTATCAATTAAAAGTTTCAGTTTTCCTGTTCAAAAAACAAAGAAGTTATCCATAACTTTTTTATGAGAACTATTATATCTAATATCCTTTGTTCTAAAGATAGTTTTTCTGGCTGTGTCTAAATTTATTCTATAATTTTCATATGTAGAGAAGGCAGAGAGTTTTCACCAATTACTGGCTTTTTTGTAGATGTTGGTTCCTCTGAGGTTTGACTTCTCATATACTTCAATTACTGGCAGAGAGTTTTCACCAATTACTGGCTTTTTTTGTAAATGATGTTCACATGTAAATAATTTTCACATGTAAATAATTTTCACATGTAAATAATTTTCACATGTAAATGATGTTCAAGTCCTATTAACATTTGAGTGGATTGCTTGCTTCTACCCCGCTGGGTTATCTTTCTGGTTGATCAAATTATAAAAAAGATAAAGAATAGCAAAAGGAAAGGAAAAAAGTGTACCAGTTTTATTTTATTTTTTAAATAATGAAAGCCAATGACAAGCGTGGAACAGGAACAATGTATTAGGCTTTAAATGGCTTCTCTTTTTTTTTTAAATATTTTATTAGAAAATAGATATTGGATCCTATAAACCTAAAATTTTCCACCACACTTCCAGTTTCAGTCTTTATGATTTGTTTGCTTTTGAAACCCTGCATTGCTAAAATGTGTTGATGGTTCATTTACGAATTTTTAGTCTTGGAAATTTCCCATGCGTGCATTTGAGGTGGAACTTCCTATTTTTGGTTGAACTAGGTTATTGTTCGAAAGTGGGATCAGAGGGAGGAGCGACTTGTTAAAATATCAGAAGAAGAGGTTTGCATTTTATTTATTTATTTATTCAAGATTCATTAGTATTTAGTAGTTAGAAGCTATAAAAATTCATTAAGGAATTGAGTCTTTTTGCAAGAGTTTTATCTTAGAGTTTATGAAGTGATGTAGCAAGTTTGATTTGTTAAAAGTTAGAAACTTTAGGAGCTAGGCCCAGCAAGTTGTATGTTCACCAACAATGGCGTTCAATTTTTCTGCCTCAAAACAGACCGAACAAAGTCCTCTGATTGATATTTTATCTATTGATATTTTTATCCCTCAAATAGGAGCAGCGATTTGGGGAAGCAGTTAGACAATTAGAGTTCGACAGACAACTTGGTCCGTATAATTTGGGCCAATATGGAGAATGGAAGCGAATATCTAATCACATCAACTGTACCACAATTAAACGACTAGGCATGCTCCCTTTTCTATTTCAGTGTCTCGTACGTGTACAGTTTACTTTTTGCTGCATTTTTGCATGTAAAGTTTCTTTTACTCTTTGTGGCCTTGGCTATGATTATTTGGCAAAGATTGGAGTAAAAAGTATTATTATTGATGATTAGTCTCATGATAATTCTACATAGTTTGTTTTCATTGAGTTAGGCAATTTTATGCATGATTTTGGCCACGATAATTGTATCATAATTTACCACCTTATCAAAGTACTAGCTGTGCAAGAATTTGAAAAATTATCATAACCCCAAATATTCATTTCTATTTGTTTCTTTAGTTACTTCCTCTGTCTTTTCTCATTCCCTTTTTATATTTTGCTAAGCCTTTCCCCTCGCCGTTCTACATATTGTTTTTTTTTTTTTCTTCTAGCATCTTGATTGGTTTGTTTGTTTCATTGTGGGGTTCATAGCTCCAAAAAGCTGTAATGTTTCTGTTAAAGTTTGAGAAGGAAGACTATAATTCATTAGAAAGTTCAACATTTCCTATTGCTGACCTGATTAGTATAGGTGTTGACATTCGTATGTTGAAACATTAGTTGTATTTTATTTTATTATTTATTTTTATCAAAAGTATTATAATGCTCAAGGAGGTAAGCCACATTCAAGCTACCATGTTCGTTTGCCATTTTGACAAATAGAAAATGAGAGAAGGTTTAGCTTGGTAGAAAAAGAACTCCAAGGAAGAAAACACGAAGTATGGTTATAGGCTGAGTTTGGCCAATGGGCCAAACTTATGGGCTTATCGGTTGTCTCCTATAGGATCTCAACAAAGCTCTAAATTGGACTTAAATCTCGATTCTGCTCCTGGTTTGTAGCCGATCGGGGTGTGATGATGTTACCCATACAGCAGGTCATATTCTTGTGGATTGGTGTTATCTCTTAGTTAGTGTTGTGACTCTTTTTGAGGGGTTGTTTCTCTCATGACATGTATTTTCTTTCATATTTTTTAATGAAATCTTGGTTTCTTATTAGAGAAAAAAGGTTTTTATGTGTCGTGAAGAGAAGAGATGGTTTGTTAATTATTTAGCTTTATTTCTTTCTTAGTATCGTTACTTTTTGAAAAAGAAAAATACATACCCCCCCCCCCCCCCCCCCAAAAAAAAATGTATATATAGAGAGGGGGAGGTCTTTATTTTGTAGCTTTTGAAACTCACGTATTGTCTTGTCACGCTTAGATACAGATGTAACCTGCATATGAAAAGTTCATTTTGTTTCTTGTTAAAAATAATAATAATTATATTTTATGTACAGAACCTATTGGAGGTGACATTAGCGTGGCTTGTGAACCTGGAATTTCTCAAAGCACTTCCAAGTCTGCAATTGAGAAAGTCCTGGATGATCAGTTGAAGGCTAGTAAGTTTGCAATGCACGTTGATTCATCTCAGAGGAGAAAATGTTATTACACAGAAATTCCCCATGTTATCAAACAGAGAGGAGTTCATGGGCAAGAACTTACTAATTTGAATCTTGATAAGGTAATTAGTACTGGTATGAATTCTTTAACATATGACCTTGCTGAAAAATCATTTTGTTGCAACAGTTGTTTTTGGAAATTGTTTCTTAATTTGGTTATGATTGTTATGACTTTTGTAGACTTTGCTACTCGAAAAGTTACTGAAAAAGGATTTTGGAGGTTCAGAGGACTTACTCCTTGGGGAGCTACAGTTTGCTTTCGTTGTATTTTTGGTTAGTATTGGCGTGGACAAGAGTTTTCTCCTTTTGTTGGCAGATCTTTGTAACGTCTAACATTGTGCAGATGGGACAATCACTTGAAGGATTCCTACAGTGGAAATCATTAGTTAATCTGTTTTTTGAGTGTACAGAAGCTGTAAGTATTCCATTCCAACTATGACGTGTAACTTTTGGTTAACTTAATTTTTTTTTTTTTTCTGATTGAACTTTTGTATAAGAGTTCCACCTTTTCTTAGACTATTTTGTTCAAGAAAAACTTTCTTCTGCCATTCCTCATATTTGGAGCAATTTTTTATTTGTTTGTAATTAGTATTTAGTGTACATGATTACAACTAAGTAACATATTAACAACCAACCATTCTACTACTACCATATGCATTTTTAAAAATGGTGAAAACAAATAATGCAATTCTATTTTCTACTAAATCCTCTGTTTTTATTTTTTATTTTTATAAGAGACAATTTCATTGATGATTGGAATTTACAAAAGGAATGTAATATCCATGATGTTTATAAAAGACGTTTCTAATTTACAACGTAGGAGGTATATCTATAGGAAGCAAAAATATTAGACTCTTAGCATTGGGTTGGAATGTGAATTCTCTTTCCATATTTCCTCTTTTACTAGTTCTTTTCTAGATGGAGTTACTTTTTAGGCATAAGGATGTCTTGATTTTTTTGACTGATATTTCTTCCATTTTATTGGCTAAATTTCTATTTCTGGTTTTTTTTTTAAAATTTTATTTTTCTTATTTATAAAAAAGACCATATTGCAGACGATTCATGAATTCCTATTCATTTTCTCCCTTGACTTCGCTGAAAATCCTTTGCTTGTTCTATCTTTTGTTCCTTGGGAGTTCAAAATTTTTGGGACATGGTTAGGCTACAGTTTTTTTCGTGCCCAGGTTATTTCTTTTTGTTGCGACATATTTCTCTGCATGCCAGATTGTACCCTTAGTTTGTGAGGTTATCTGAACTTGGATGAAAAAGTATAGGGGCATAGTTTGCTTTTCTTGTTCTAGCTGAGTTGTATTTTGTCAATCCACATTTTAAGAATTCACATTTTGTTGCAGCCTTTTTGCACAAGGAGTCAACTATATACAAAGGTGTGTTCGGTGACTTTTAATTATTTTGAATGTTATTGTCTTTGCTCCCTTCTTGTGTGTTGCTGTCATGTTGCACTGTTCACGGTAGAGGTAGATGCACAACTTTTAGAAACTGTGGGATGTCACTCTTCTAATAAAGGAGCTATCTTGATTATCTAATGAGGCCTTATCCCAGCTTATAAAAAAAGTTTATCTTCTTTTCTTGCGTTGGCACGTGGGAAAAACTGACACTTTTGAATTCCATAATGGAGGACCAATCACTTGCGGTATTAATTGTTTTTTTATTTTTTATTATGCCAGGGAAGGGTGCATGAGGAATTTTATGTACTTTTGGCTTTCTTTTGCTGAAAATTGTAAATTATCTTTCTAGATGCTTTAAGTTGGCATGCCTTACTAATCCTACACATTGAATGAGAACTCACCAGTTCTTTAACTAATATCAGAGCTGAAAATGCGCTCACCACTTTTGGTAGCCTTCATTATTTGTGTTAATTATTCCTTTCAGATTGCTTTCTTATATCCTATTATTGGGTACTTCTATTAACAACCGTCTAATTTAGACTTGCAACAGTCTTCATGACCTAAATAGCATAGAACATACACATGGAAGCTTTAAAAGCAAATTCGGAAGGCTTCTTTTCAAGATAATCTGCTATGTATTGATGCCACATTTGTGCATAATCCAGACAAGAATACCAATCTTTCTTGGGGTTTTGGTCTTCCAAATAGCTCTGAATAATTTGGTTGGCATAGAAGGGGAGGGATTTTGGTCTATCCAGAAGCATCCTCCACCCTCAAGAATTTTCAAAATTACTATAAGAAACTAATTCCAGCATGTATAAAAGGGATCTAGCTCATTAGTCTCGACTTCTTGTGAAGGTCTTGTAATTCAAGAACCATGGACACTGACACGACATAGGCAAACACTTGTTAGTTTCTAAAGCAGTAGTATTGGATGTGGATACATTGAGACAATTTTTAAAGAGAAAAAATACTCCTTTGGTCCATAAAATCTAAGGTTGGCATCTCTTTGGTTTTTGATGTTTGAAAAGTGGTTCTAAATGATCTCTGAGCTTACTTGATTGACGAAAAGATAATGCGGCCATTTTGTGGTGATGGACTAGATAAGGTAACAAAATGCGGTGACATCTTCCCCATTTTCTTTCCTTTTACATCTTCTGGATGAAACTTACTACTGTTGCGCCCCTTTCTTTCTTGCGATTGTAGTCATTTCTCGTGGACCCCTCAACCATGTCCTCCTTGCTTGGCCTTGTTGGTTGGTGTGGCCTAGAAGTGCGATCTAGTGTTCCTGATCTAGTTTACAGCCCCAAAACGTTGTTCATGTCATCTAACGTTGCCTAGAAGTGCGAGCTAGATAGTTGTAGATCTTCGATCAGTTAATTCTCTGGCCCAACTAGCATTAGTGTATAGTTCTACCTGTCTTTTACGATTTTTTTCAATAATAGTCCATGACTTAGTGTCTTTCAAATATCTCAAGACCTAGTTTACAGCCCCAAGATGACATTCATTTGGATTGTTCATATACTGGCTAACAATGCTATACAAAGTTTGCAATGTTTGGCTTGGTATGTGAAAGATAAATTAGCCTTTGATACACGCCCTTGTCAATTGGAATAACCTCTTCACTTTGATGTAGAGCTAAATTTAAATCTGTAGATGTTTCAATAGATCTACACCCAAGACTTCTGGGGGATCCTTTAACAAATCTAGAATATAGTTTCAGAGAAATTACAATACCATTCTTGGATTGTGCCACTTCCGTAGCAAAAAAAAATATATCAAACTTTCCTAGTCTTTGAATTCAAACTCAGTTGATAGCATCCTTTTAATGTTGAGAATCTCTTCTAGGTCATTCCGTGCAATGATAATATCATCCACGTATACAATCAAAATTGCAGTTTTGTCATTTGAGAATTTCACGAACAAGGTATGATCGACTTGACCTTGATAATAACCACTTTTAGTCTGTGTTTTAGTGAATCTATCAAACCATATAAAAACTTTCTCAACATGTACACCAAGTTTCCATTAGCCTTATCCTTCATTCCAAGGACAATTTGCATATAAACTTCTTCTTGAGGAGAGGAATCGTGAGGTTAAGATGAGCTTTCAAACCTAATACTTTCTAACCCATGTTTCTTCATTTGTGATTGCTGAAACTCAAGGTTGAAGTGGCTGCTTAAACCTTGTAGAAGACCACACACCAAAAACCTTAAAAGAAATCAGTGAACTGAGACCCACATACGAGAAAAAATTACCTAGAAAAATAACTAGAGCTTGAATGCACGACTCAAGCAAGGGAATTGATGGTCATCATCAACGAATGACCCAAACAACCATGAACAGCCACAGACACGAATGAAATAAGGGTTAGAACAGAATGCCATGAATCAATCCATAACATGAACAAAAACATTGTGCAAACATAACCACTGTGTGACTAGGGTGGTGACAAAAGGACGAGAAGTAGAAAGAATGCAATGAATGAACGGATTTGGTGGAGGCAAGCAAATACAATTTTCTTGTCCATCCAAGTAAATTCATAGGTGTAATTTGGCTAGTAGTTTAAGAATATTGTTATATATGGATTATAAATTGATACGGAATCTCTCTTTTCATTAGTAATATTTTTGTTCTTTAGTTTTTAGGGTTGGCCTACATAGGCTGGGCTTGAATTTTAGTGTCAACCATGTCTCAGCATGTCCTGCTGTGTGCAAGTTGTGTATAACCCTTATTAATTTCTAATAAATGGAACGTTTTAGCATAAATGCTGGTGAAATCTTGCTTGCACTTTCTTCTGTTACGATTAACTTTGTTCTGTTCTGTTTATATGTCTGACATTTTCAAGAATTATTGCAGTTCATTAAGGTCCTCTACCATCAATTGAAATTTGGATTAGAGAAAGATCATTCTAATGACACGGGTCAAACATCAACAATTTTAGATGAATCGTGGTTTTCTGCTGATAGTTTCTTATATCATCTATGTAAGGTAAGGTAGTATCATGATCATTTTAAAACCTCTTGCTTACCCAAAAGTTAAAAGTTTATAGACGGGATTTATAATTCCTTATGCATATTTTTAACGTTCCTCCTCATTTGTGGGCTTGGAAATTAACACAAAGCTTAACAAGTGATCACCGCCAATGTTAATTGGTCAGAAAATTATTCAAACACGTAATCTCTTGTGCAAGCTAGTTTATTCTATCTATTTAATATTATATCCATATTCTATCACACCTATCATTCATGTATTTTGAAATTATCCTTATTTTACACGCACTCCAGTTATCTATGGTGCGTGAGTATTCAATTATTTGAGATCCATATATGTTACATTTAATTCTCTGACTTGTTTATTGCAGGTTAATGCTGAATTAATTTTTTTTTAATGGGTGATGTTATTGAGATTTACATTTTCCTATTACCTAAAATATGATCAATATCATGCAGGATTTCTTTTCATTGGTGCTAGAGGCTCCAGTTGTTGATGGGGATCTTCTGACATGGGTATGTGCATCGAGCATATTTCATGTAATTTTTCCCTGGTTGATCTAACCCATTTCTAAGATGCAGGTTTGAAATTTAACATAATCTCAAAAGATTTTATGGGCATACTCCCAATTTTTATACGGTGGTATTATATTGTGAATTCAAGTGTTCAAGCCTACACGAATTTGGTATAGGCCCTCAGATTTATTCATGTTCTAGTACATTTAAAGCCTCCCAAGAAAATGAAAATTTCCATGTCCATCTTTAAGAATTTATAGGCAGTAAACTTTCTCCCCCACCACCTGTGTTTTCTCTTTGTGCATTGGCCTGCTATGTCTTCTCTCTTTGAATGGAGGCAAGTTCATGGTTTCTTTTGGCTCTATGATTCCTCCAGGGAGTTGTAAATGGTTTTCTCAACCATATCCTCGTTTCTTGCCTGAGCACCAGTTTCTTATTTCTTTCTTGGCATCATCCAATTTAAGCGATGTTCTATCAAGTGCTTTAGATTCTTGAGGGCTCATTTTATAATGGAGAAGGTGAGGCAGTATTGTGCCTAGGAGGATGAAGTCAATCTGGTGCGGCATGTTCCTCAAAGGATCAAAGATGGATATTTCGTAAGTAAACATTCCACCTCGTTAGTATGAAATTGTTGGGTTTCAGGGACATGTCTCCTTTTACTACCAAACTCCATCTTCTCCTTGGGAGATGAACTGTTTCACTCATAGTACCGTGAATTTGTTCCCCCCTCCNCCCCCCCCCCCCCCCCCCCCCCCCCAAAAAAAAAAAGTTCTCTGCTTTTTCCCCTGGATTCTTACTTCAGAATCCTCATCTAATTTTCATCTGAGAACGGATTCAATATCGTTTCTTCCTTAGCCTTCAACCGATTCTTCTTATAGTCATCATCTAGTACATCAGTTTTTCAGCTTTTGGTTCTGGATCTAAGGAGTTGTGTCAACCATAGATGCTTTTGTACCTGGGTCAAGAAGGGTATTTTCTTTATTGAAGACATGGCCAACAAGCTGGTGATCCGCCCTTTTTAATCTCATTTTCGTTGGTTCAAAAGTTCTTTGTGTGGATTTGCTTCATTATCCTGTGCAAATGAGTTTGGTTGGTCTATTCGATTATCAAAACGAAAATTTTATTTTAAGTTGGTGTTAGAATGTGCTGCTTGGCCCTCTTCTAGAGGAAGGAAATTGCTCAAAGTTCGAATGTTTCCGTAGGAGTTTGTTCAAGGACACATGTTCATCTTCAGTCAGGAGTGTTAGGGGACACCATGTTCTTTTTCCTTCTAGTATAGACTATGAATATCTTTATTCGACTCTTGAAGAGTGCTGGTCAATGATACTAGAGTTTTGGATGAAAGGATCATACAGTACAATCTTTGACATAGTGTTAAAGGTTTCATCGATTTCTGGCAAAGAAGGTCCATTATTAGTTTTCCTTGGATTGCTGACATTTGCACCCTTTTATATTTGAGACATAGTCAAGGAAGATACATTTGAGTGTCATAACTTTACGGTTTTTTGGTTGATTATTTTGAACAAAGAATTTATCCGTAGGGGAATAAGAGAAAAGATCATTGTATCTAGAAAGTGTTTTAGAAGTTTTTGTAAAGGAGTTGGAAAATTGAGGGTTTAAGAAGGCATCCTATTTATGAGGGAGGTGGCTGCTTCTTGAAAAGCTACTAATGTTCAAAAGTACAAGCTTCCCTACTAGGGATATAAAATGAAAGACAAAAAGCAGAAAAAGAAGAATTAATTATCCCTTGAAATTATATTATTCTCTTTGAATTTCTATGTTGGAGATTTTGTACCTCTATCTACTACTTTGTAACTCCCATGGTGCTTTAATAATCATGGAAAATGCTTAATTAATGCACTAAATTCCTCCGCCACAGACAAGGAAACTCAAGGAACTGCTAGAGAACAGCCTGGACTGGAAATTCCAAAACAACGCTGCAAGTGATGGAATTTCTTTCGATGAAGATGATGAGGTCAGTCAATGTTTACATTGCTATAATCTCTCTCTCTCTATCTCTCACATATATGCCTATTTACTTTTGCAGTTTGCTCCTGTAGTTGTAGATTAGAGGCTGGATGATTCTAAGGTGTCATGAGGTCTCAAGTTATATATTTTAGTCTATAATGTTTTTTTTTCCCCCCTTCAATTTAGCTTCTTATGCTTTGTGATGAACGTTAAAATTTGTGATATGGTGGGTTTGACACAAATCTAGAAGAGTAGTTGGCTTTTACAAATCTAAACATTAAGGGTTATAATATTTATCTAGCCTAGAACCTTGCCTCACTATTCTACTGAACTTCTAGAGATCCTTTTCTGTGAATCAGACCATGGAGGAGTTACTTTTCCCTTTCTTTTTTTTTTTTAAAGAAAAAAACAGAAGGAAAGCAAAGGACATTCTCATCTGTTGGAGAGAACAGTTAAATTAGACTCATAGGTTGTTTAATCAAACCTGAAATTCTGTGTACATATAGATACCTCTAGAATTCTTTTGCCATTCTTACAGCCCTTAGTTAGTTCTTACGAGGGAGCCTCGATATATTTGGTTATCCACTTTGTTCTGGATGAATTGGGTTCATGAAATTCTATTATATTTTGGATTGTAAATTTTAAATAAATGGTTTAGGCTCGAAGTGATAATTGTCTTTTTCGTTTTTTTCGTTTTTATTTTTGATATTTATGCTTGTTTTCTCCCACAATTTTTTTTACCTTAGTTTTCAATTCTTTTTTTACATAGAAAAGTTTGAATTTTTAGCCTAATTCTAGAAAATATAATAATTGTTTTAGTTTGTTTTTTAAAATTTTGATAGGAAGTGAATAACAAAACATTTTATGAATTTAATTTTCAAAGATTAAACAGTTTAATATATCTTTCTTTTTGTATAGGATGTTTTCTAGTTAGAGCTTTCATAATCATAGCTCCAAAGATATTTAGATATTTGAATTATTTCATAGTTGCAATTAGTTATTTTTCTTCCATTTGAATGAAAACCTAATTTGTTTTGATCTGTGAGAAATTTAAAATTGTAAATTACTTAACATAATTAAATCTCTTTGTGATAACTTAAACGATAATGGAAGGACGAAGCTTTTTTTTTTTTTTTCTTCTTCTTCTTCTTCTTCTTACGGCTCCCTTTGCTCAAATGAAAATGTGTGGTGCCTAACCTAATGCTATTCAATTCAATTTTAGAGCGACGTTATGATCCAAACAATAAAGAGACTCTACTGGTACGTCTAAATTAAATAAAGTTTGTATTATCAGGATTTAGGTAGCATTCGTATTTGAGGCTTCTTTTTTGTTGACATGGATTTCATCTAAGGTTTTCGGTTTACTTGCTTGTGATGTACTCAAGACCCTTAGGGTTCGAGTTGAACCATTTGAGTCGTTTAGACCAATCGACCAGACCAAATAAGGGATTGACCATTTTGCTCGATAATTGAGCTTATAAACTTAGGTGCCCAACCCCAATTGGACCTTGGGTCACGAAAAGCCTAATGAGTTAAGGCCTATCTCCTGCTCCTTAAGGCTCTTTCGTAGTCTCTTTGTCATTTATGTTTACTTTTATGCATAATAATGGCCTTCACTAGCATTAATGTTCGTAGGTTTGATCACTTGTTCTCTTGTAACTCTCTCAAATTTCCGTCTAGATTAGGGAACATTTGACTTTTACATATCTCATCTACCTTGTTTTCAATTCACAAGAATCCCAATTTTGGGCTTCATTTGACTCCAACGGAGCTTGTCATTGGCAATATGATGACACTATCACTTCGTACATTGCTTGCGTCTGAAACATTTATATATGTTTTTTGTGTTCTTTGCATCCACTAGAACATGACAGGAAGTTTCTCCTACACCATATAGAAAATCCTCAAAAGATTTGCATTATTTGCGGGCAACATTTCTCCTTGTTGCATTTCATTTAAACCATGATATCTTTTATTTGATCTTCCACTACCTTTTCGGGCTAAGTGGTAGTTGGTCTTTGTACGTTATTATTCTCTTTTTTTGCAAAGATTAGTATATTACGAAAAAAGGGGAACCTCGCAGTTCGAGGTCAAAACATAACTAGACAGAATAACTCACGATCTGAACCCAGCAAATCACAAGAAAATATTTTGAGGGGAAGATCTAAACGAAACCCGTATAGAAGATGCTTTCGATTAGACAAAGCTATCAAATGATTAAATGATTCTTATTATTACACGAAATGTAGAAACGAATATAGATGAATATAGCTAAATGGCCTGTGAATTGAACTTCAAAAGAAATGCCCAAAACCCCAATTCTAACTTCATTTCTTCCTCTGAAGCATTTGCTTGAACCAATGAGCTGACATCTTAGGGTACCTCTTAAGGTCATTTTTGTAGTCAACATACACAATCCCAAATCTGGAAGTGTACCCTGATAGCCATTCAAAGTTATCCAGCAATGACCAAGCGAAGTAACCCGTTACATTGGCGCCTTCGTCGATGGCTCTTTTCATATTTTGCAAGTACGTCTTGAAGTACTCAATTCTCTCTAAATCGAAAAGTGCTTCGGGGAGTTGGATGTCGGGTGTATCCCTACCTGTCGATTTCAAAAAAATCGTCACAAAAAGTAAATCAAATGACTTTGATTTCAATTATACTCTTAAATTTTGTAAAGTTTTTCGGAAGACTTGCCATCAAATTTACGAACCGAAAAAGCTGTATAGCTTATGTGTTGCTTAAATAAACAAATCTAAACAATATGATAAGTATGTTTGGAGATGCAAAAGCCTACCAAAATTATTTTGGAACAAACTTTATGAAACTTTTAAACGTTAGGAGTATGACTCAAACCAATGTATTTTTGATAATTGAATATGTACTCGATTCTTACCGTTCTCCGAAACAATAACATTAGGGTTTCCATAGCGCTCTTTGACATACATCAAGACTTTGTACATTCCCCATGGAACTTGGTAGAGCCAAAAAGTATGGGACTGAAAATTGATCATAATAGTATAGCAAAACTTTAAGCACTTAATAAAAAAGGAGCAATTAAACAAAGCAAATTAATAACTATTCATTCAAAATAATGGGCTACCCGTGGACCAATTGGTACTCCATTCTTCTCATCTGTTTGTGTAAACCAAAAGGTAGAGAGTGAAAGAAAATGAAGGAAATTAGTAAAGAAAGAACGTAAAATTTACTAATAAAGTAGAACGTTCGAAAATTTAAACCGAAGCTTTTCTCTAAGGAGTGTTCAAAAAATCCAATGACCTAAAAAACTTGATCAACCCAACCCAACTTAACCTAAATGGTACAGTTATGAACTCCCAACTCAACCTAAATGGTACCGTTATGAACTTATTTAGTTGGGTTGAGTTCAAATGAATGAAAACTTTACGGATTGAATTGGTTCATAAATTTCCTTAAAATTAATTAGGTTGAATCAAATTATCTTTGATTTATTATTAATTTAAAAAAAATACATTTTTCCTTATAATACTGAATTAAAGGTAATTTTTTAAAATATATATTGAAATTGAACCGTAATTTTAACTAAATATTTTAAAATAAATATATAAATGTTTTACAAATTAACATTTTATCTTTATTAAAAAAATTTAAATAAACAACTCGAACAACCAAACTCGAAAACTTTATGCTCAGATTGGATTGGATTTAAAATGATGTTTGGGTTTCAAAAAACGTTACAATTCAAATAAAAAAAAATGTTTCAACTAGATCCAAATGAATTCGAAAATGCTTGGAATGGAAGTGATTTTTTTTTTTTCAAAAGTCTTGGTTTTTGAGAGAGAGAGAGAGGATATTACAAGCAAAGCCAGCATGCCAATCATTCTGATAGCCAGGGGCAGAAGGATGAGGCCAATCTGGGTTGAACATATAGAAGCTCGTGTAATGGTTGATACCCAAAAAGTCTATGGATCCCTTCACCAAAGCAACCTCTTCTTCACTGAACTTTGGTAGCCTTTCTTTCACTATTGCTTGCATTGATGTTGGATATCTCCCATATGTAATTGGATGCAAAAACCTAAACCCACATCCAAAAAACAAAAACTTGTTAAAAAAATCACCATTCAAATTCATCCCCAAACCTTAATTTCCTCGAATAATACCAGCCAAGGTGGAAATCTCTTGCTCTTTGTGCTGCATAATTGTCCTTTTTTCCCCTCGTTAGAGGCTCGTAGTGCACAAAATCCAATAGAATCCCTATTCGGCCTCCTTGTGCTTTCTGAAAATGGCTCGCATTAGAACGAGAACAAACGGATTAATAACGATTCTCTAAATGTTAAAAGTGTCTTACGAGTCATGAAACTTGTAATTTTATACTTTGTCAATCGACCTATTAGGTCTAAAATTGAATTTGATGTATAATAGAATCTTAAAGTTTCGATTTCATATATCGTACGAGGAAATACGTTTGGAGACGTAAGAACTTAAACGGCATAGAATCTAATAAAGTGATGTTAGAGTTAAAAAGTTGTTTACTTGGAAATTGGTTCTATATGTATTCACAGCTGCAGCATGAGCGAGAATGATGTGGTGGGCTGCAATGTAAGGCTCAGTGCCCGAGTTTCCTTCCGTGCAATTTCCATACTCTTTAGAACACCTGCAAGGAGGGTTTATGCCATTGTCGAACCCTAACGCCGCTATCACTCTCGGTTCGTTGAACGTCATCCAATTCTTCACTCTATCACCAAAGTGATCAAAGCAAAATTCGGCAAAATTTGCAAAATCCTTCCTACATTTAGTACAAAATGAGATTCGTTTTAGATACCCTTCAACGGAAAAAGAAAAAGACGTATGCTCTCGATTTTTACACATCAAGACTTATTTTCATCTTAGAAAATGAAACTTTTCATCACTCGAGAACATAATTGAAACATACATCAAAATTCAGGATATTTTGGTGTAATTTAACATTTTCGTTTAAAAAAACTCGTTTCAAAATTCAATCGCATAATCGAAATAAACTTAAAAATTCAGGGTATGTCGTATAATTTAATTTAATTATTATTTATTTATTTATTGCAAATAATTTGATCAAACTTACACAATTTGCTTCCCCAATAGACCTCCATATCTCTCTTGAAGTGCCAATGGAAGATCATAGTGGTACAGATTTGCATATGGAGTAATACCTACAAAATAAATGTACATTTGAAAATAATATAACCATAATCATAAAAGAAATAATTAAAAAAAATGAAATTATAACAGTAATTATATAAGAAAATAAAAAAAAAATCCCTATTATTCGAAATTTAAAATAAAATAATTACCTTGGTCGATCATATAATTAATCAATTTGTTGTAATAAGCAACACCTTTCCAATTTACTTCACCTGTTCCATCTATACAAAAATAAAAGAAAAAATATATATAAAATTAAAAGTGAATTTAATAATTAAAAAAAAAAAAAACTAGATCAATCAATAATTTTAGGGTAATTACTTGGGAATATCCTCGGCCACGAGATCGAAAACCGATATGCATCGAAGTTCATTCTTTTCATAATATCAACGTCTTCCTGAATAATATCAATAATAAAAACATATCAAAAATTGAAAAACATGTTCGTTTTAAAATATATTAGTAGATAGAAATAAAAGACGGGGATCTTAAATTTTCAAAGATTACAAACCTTATATTTGTGATATTGATCTACTGCAACGTCTCCCGTGGCATTGCCAGCAATATTTCCTATTTAAATTCAAAATTATATAGAAATTGAAGGAAAATAACCTTAGAAAAAACAAATAGTTGAAAACATGTTACAAAACCTGGGATTTTAACGAAAGGATCCCAAATACTTTGTCCTCGACCCTCTTTGTTAGCCATTCCTTCTACTTGGTAAGCCGAAGTTGCCGTTCCAAACACAAATCCTTTTGCAAATGCATCTCTACTCAATCCTCCAGTATCGAACTTAATCTTCGAGAAATCGAAACCATAGGACAGATCGGTCGAGTCGATCTGACTTAAGTTAAAAAACACAAAAACAAAGAAGAATATACAACGAAGTTTCGTATTCATGGTTGAGATAAAGCTAGCTTTGTTTTGATTTCAACTCGTTTGAGTTTATATAACATGATAACGACGTATTTATGATAATTTTTTTATATGATTATTGGAATCTTTTAAGATTTTATAAATAAATCCATAATTTTTTTATTTAAAGTATTAATTAAAGTATTTTTGGGAAGAAATGAAGAGTTTAAAGTAAGGTGTTGAATTGAATGAATTAAAAAACGAAATTGAAGCTGTTTTTTTTTTTTTTTTTTTTTTTTTTTTTTTTTTGTTTATTTTCTTCCATTTTTGTAGGAAGTTTTAATATTTTATTCTATTAATGGTAATAAATTAATTTATAAGATAAAATTGTAATGAAAATATATTTGGATAGAATTTTTATCAACTCTTTGCTGAACATTAATGGTGGGGAATAATCTTATCCGATAACTAAAGAATTTTTTTATTTTTCGTGAATTTTTAAAATAAAAAAATTAAGAAATTAAATAATTATTAAATGAGACATATAAAATTATAAAAATATTTTCCAAAAACACATGTTTTCTTGTATTCTCAATCAAAAGGTAGCTTTTGGGAAATAATAATAATAATAATAATATATATATATATATATTTTCATTGCATGTATTTGAAAAATAAAATATTAAATTTAATATATCGTAACATCTAAGATAAATATGATTGAAACCTTGCGTTGATTTTACTCAACATAGAAGTATATTTTAATGTTTTATGAAGTCTTCCTTATTCTCGTCTCCTATTTTTACGAAACAATTTTATTTATTTATTTTTATGAATCAAGGTGGAAATTTTAAGGGAATTCTCAAAAATCTTTCTCCATTCATTTTTGCTAAGATTGGGATGGTGTCGGGTCGGGGACGAGGATGGAGAATGTCACTTCGTCCCCAGTCTCGTTTAGCTAATAAAAAAAAATCTCTCATCACTTCCTCTACCCCATTTGAGGTGAGTTCCCTTCATACCTTAGTCGCGCCGATTAAGTAGACATCTCTAATTAAAATTAAAAAAAAAAATAGTAAAACGAGTATGATGCTACAATTTTAAAAAATATGATTGACACAGCTCATATATAACTCATTATTTATAAAAAGAAAAAATAAAATTCATTTAGATTTTTTATTAAATTCTTAGGATCTTGTAATATTATATCTTTCTAAAATAAGAAAACAAATCACGAACAATGCACTAAAAATATCAATAATTGAAGAAAAAAAAGAAAAAAAAACTTGGAAATTGGTTTGATATTGTGACATTTTATTTATTTAAATAAATCTTGGAGATCCACGTTTTTTATTTTTTATTTTTTATTTTATTCTCAATTTTTAAAGAATGATCACTTTAATATATGTATATGGCGGTCATGAAGTTGCTCCCCTTGATTTGCGTTTGATAATGAAATTTTTTAAAATAATAATAATAATAATAAAAGAACCAATAAAAAAAAACTATTTGATAAATATTTAGAAAATGATACTTTTTCATGCAATTTTTTTAACTACTTTTTAGTTTTATTTTTGTAAATAAACATTTAAAATTTTAACCAAAAAAAACATGTTTTATTTTTTTATTTCTGTTTTCAAAATGTGTTTATAAATTTTACTTTCTAAAGCTATAAAAAAAACAAAAAAAAAAACGAGATATTGAGGTGTAAATAAACAACCTTCGTTCATATATTAACAATAAATGCATTTTTTAAATTCTTTTTTAAAATGCTGAAGTTATTAAAGCTATTTTTGAAAGAACACCCATTGTGTATATGAAATGAACATGAAGATGAAACTATGTTGTTGTTAGGAATCACGAGTTTCCACTATGATATTGTCTACTTTGAGCATAAGCTCTCGTGGCTTTGCTTTGAGCTTCCCCAAAAAGCCTCATACCAATGAAGATAGTATTCCTTACTTATAAACCCATGATCTTCCCTAAATTAACCAATGTGGGACTCACTCCCAATAATCCTCGACAGTTGTTGTGTGCTTTAGTTATGAACGCAACGCAAGCAGCCATCACAGACACATATGAACACTAAGCCTATAATCCATAAATAAGCAGATAACTTCTGAAGTCATAAAGGGTAGCAGCAAAACAAAGCTTACTCATCGTTTCTGTGCTTTCCTTCGTCTAGACTGAGCCTTCTGCCACTTCTTCTGGGAAACCATTTTGCTCTTTGGTTTCAGCTTCAGTTCTTGTGAGAATTTGAAATTTGGATCTCTCATGCGTGCTTGTATGTCCTTGAAAAATTGCATATTCAGTTTCTTCTCCCCTCCCTGCCTCAGCTCTGCATATTCAGGCCCTGACACTATGTTTTCGAATGCTCCTATTAAGATATCTACATCACTCATCACCTCCCACACATTCGTATATCGCCCATCCGGTCCTTTCTTCAGCTTCTTCAATGCATTCTCCACTGCTACTTTCCTGGCTTGTTTTCCAGGGGATAACTCTTCTGGTTTCTGTTCAGATTTCAATAGCTCCGAAATCGTTCGGTATTTCGATGTTTCCTCAAATTCAAATAGTCTATCTATGTATTTGTCACTACTTTCATTCGGGTAGGCCTCTGTAGGAGTATCGTCGTCGTCGTCGTCTTCACTACCAGTCCACAAGGTCTTCTCTTGGTCGCTCCCTGACCAAACACTCCATAATTCATCACTATCATCAGCATCAATCAAGTCTGAGTGTTCTTTTGCCTGCTGCCTTACCTTTCTTATCTCATCTTCGAGGCGGTTTTTTTTCGCTTCTTTATCGTCTTTCTCATTGTCGCTGTCTGTCCATAGAGTAGATTCTTCTTCATTCATCTGTTTTTCCCAGGCTTTCCTGAATTCCTTATCACCAGGCCGGACTTTTCCAAAAAGATCATAATGTTTGCGCTCATCACGTGAATATGATCTTGATACTGCATAATATATGAAATAGCAGAAGCTCATAATCAGAAGCACAAATCCTTAACTGCAAATTACAAAGGTTGAAGAATGTAAAATCATATACGTTCAAACAATTTAATGCTTTAAGAAACAGGCATAATCCTTCTCTGACAAATACTTAAACTTTCCTCTCCTTTTCTCCGTTACTGTTGTTTTCGCACATCCAAATCCAAACATGGTGACAATGACATGCCTGCAATCCAAAAGTGTTCCAGTTGGCCCTCTCAAATTCAGTACTTGACAATATTGTAAGTTGTCATAGGTTCATGTATCTCCTATGCATGTATTTGGTTCATAACTCTCATTTATTTAGTTCATCTCTCATTTATTTAGTTCATAACCTTTTGGTACATGAATCAAGATGATTCATGTATGACATAAATGTTTCTATGACTATATAAAGACTTGTCTAGCATTGTTTTGAGATGTCGGGTCATTGTCATTTTGTTAGAGGCAATAGGGAGGAACTTTGTAAGAGGGACTTTGTAGTGTGAGAGATACATTTGTAAACACTTTTGTTATAGTAATTGGCTACCACCCGTGGATAAAAGAGAATTTCTTCTTTCCAAACCACGTAAATCTATGTCTCTTTGTTTAATTTCTGTTTGTGGGTGTGTGAGTGTGATCAATCTTGCTTTCACTTCCGCTACAACAATTGGGTATCAGAACATTTTGGTTGTGGCGTTTGGGTACAACAATATATACGATCAATCTAATATTTCTCATTCCAATATTGAACAGAGTTGCCAGTTTACTGTTAATGCTTGCTTTTTTAGTACAAGTAGCCACAAGATTTGCTATCACTTTTTACTATTGTGTGAATTTTACTGGAGTTAGGAGTACTTAGCTGGGAATAAGAGATGTTTTAGAGATGACAGGAAGTTTGGTCTTTAACTACGTTATACGTCTCTTTTTCCAACGAGTTCTATAACTATCCTTTACAATCATTCTTGTTAGAGCCCTAGTTTATGTCTTTGTCTGAGCTCCTTTCATATTGGGCTTGTCTTTTCTCAATAAAACCTTGGTTTTTCATTCCATGTACATATTTTCTCGTCTCACAATGCAAAATCATGGCCAGCAAGCATACAGAAAATAGACAAATTATGTAAACCATCCCACTTTACACACTCCATGAGAAAGTAAACACAAAAGCAACATTCATTGCCGAGCAAAAGATATAAAATCCAATGACCAAGCCTACACTACCGAAGCCAGAAATGAAAATTTTGCAAGTGCCCAACAGCAGCTTCATTCAGGACTTTTAACAAACAGGTGGTGCGCACAACAAATTAGTGTATGATCAAACATTGCCACCACAAGCGATCAACATATGACTTCCAAACTTCATAACAAACACCATCCCCATTCACCAATCAACCCCATAATCAAGCCAACAAGTACAGAAAAGTATAAAATCGAAGACGCAAATTTTAAGCCACCCAACACTTGCCTTGGAAATTTGGCCGAAACCCATAATCGACCCAAGGTTTTGAACTTCTTGCACCATAATCCGAGACAACAGCTAGCAATCTGAAGAAAAGACAATTGGTTAGATATACATATACATATATATTGTCTGTAAGAGTGTTGGATTCAATATCGAAACAGAAATCGAAATGCAAGTAGAAGGAACAAACATGAAATTGACTTAAATTGATTAGGAATCTGAGAGTAAAAGGCTAGGGGAGGAGAAGGCTGGCCTTGAAGAAGATGAATGCAGAACAGAGTGAAGAAGAACAAGGCGGGAACGGAGCCTACAAACGTTCATTTTCTATCTCGAATGTGGGATTTTCTCAACGGCTTCGGGAACCATTTAACTCCTTTTCCATCTCATTTCGTTACATAGGGAGAAATGAGAACTTAATTTTTCATTTTATTTGTTTTTTTTTTTTTTTTAATATCTCAAAATAAATTTTAATCAAAGAAATTAAAAAAAAATAATAATAATATGAAAAATTATTTAAATAAAGATAATTTAGAGTCATATATCGATTGGTTTGGGTCGGAAAATCTTTTGGACCAACCCAAACAAAATTGATAACCCAACCGAACTCTACATTTCTTTAG